GGGGGGGGGGGGGGGGGGCAGAGGACAGAAATGGAATGTGGGTCTGGGCATGAGGCTCACAGATGCATCGGCTCTGGTTTCAGCTAGGGCAGTTGGCTGTTTTTGGGGGGGGGCAGGGCTGTCAAGGGAGGGGGGCCTGTTGCCATGGTGGCGGGCACGGCAGGGGCACAGTCTGCTGGCACTTGGAGCTCTGGGCATGGTAGGGGGCTGACTGAGGGGGAAAGAGGGGGGTGATGAAGAAGCCTCACCCCTACCCTCAGGTCTCTACCAGGAAGAAAGTTTCCAGAGAGCTGTGGGAAGATGCTGGGAGTCCAACAAGGCTCTTGGGCTCTGCCCTACCCCAGGGGAGCACCCTTCTCTAGGTCACCTGTGTCATCCCAGGTTTCCACTTGTGCCTCGGGCTAGCACTGGGGGACCCTTTTCCTGTGTCCCCTCCAGTCTAGCCGAAGGTCCCACATGCTGCTGTTGCTTCTGCTTGAAGGGAAGCAGCAAGATTGTGAATTCAGGATCTGTAATCCTAACGCAGAGCCCAGGCCTACCGGGCTCCAGTTGCCAAGGCGACGGTGGGTCAGAGGGCAGAGCGGGGCGCCCGCTCCTCCAAGTCAGAATCCCAATTGTTAAAGCCCAAGAATAAACAGCTGAAACGGCCGTGGGGGGGCCAGGAGGGGGGCTGAGGTCTGCATCGGCTCAGTGTGGTGTTGTCAAGTGAGATGTCACTAATTGTCTGAAGGAACGGGCTGAGGCAGCTCTTAACCGCTTCCGTGCCACCGGAGACACCTTGGCTGCTTGGCCTCATCCCTGGGGCCTCCCAGCATTCCACTAGGCCAGCTTGTGGGTGGTGGGGGGGTAGTGCTGGCCCAGGATAATCTCTGCTTCCCTTGCAATGAACCCCCACACACTCCCAACGCTCCTCTTTGCCCAACTTGGAACCTCCCACCTACAAGCTAAATCTTTATGTCCCCAGACCCAGGAACCCCCAATCACTGGGCTTACAAGACTTCACGAAGCCCAGAATTGCCTCCCTTGGCTTGCAAAAGCTCTTTTAGCTCCCCAACATCTCTTCTTCCCAAAAGTCAGTGGTTCTGGTACAGATGTTGGAAAGTGAAGACAGCTAGACATAAGGTTCTTCTGATCTTCGTATGGAATGGTGGGGTTGAACAGTGTCTCTCCTGTGAGGAAAAGGAAAGCATCTAGCAATTCTCCCTGCAGCTCTCTACTCCTGGTCACGCTCAGAGCCAAAGGTCTGAGGGGAGCCAGGAGCCTGGGTTTCTAGTTTTGATTGTTTTACATCCTGTGTGGCTTTGGACATTGGTTATTTTGTCCATGGGGCTGTCTCCTTATCTGTCCCCCAACCTAAACATTTAGAAGTGTTTTCGGATTCAGGCCATGTCTGTAACCCCTGTTCAGAGGAGCTCCAACCCAGTAGTGAAAAGGGCTTAATTACACAAGGTGGGGCGGTGTTTGGTTCACAGTACACTGCTTCTCAGACGGCAGTCGGTTATTAGTACTGTTACTGCTATGCTTACAGAGGGGCACGGAAAGAGTGAAGATAGCTGGGAAAAAACACCGGAGAGGGGATCGGTTCTGCGACGGTTTTCTGCAGAATGTAGAACTTGGCAAGATGTTTACAGGTGGCAGAAAAGGTAGAGTGCTCCAGCAGAGGATGGCCTCTCAAACAGCAGGAAGGGTGGGGCCTTGAGGTCTCCCCGCCCATCAGCCCTGCCTCCTCTGGCACCTCCTGCTGACTCCACCCACTGGTGGCGGAGGAGGCGGGCTGTCCCAGGGCAGGGCTCCTGGAAGATGATAGCACCTGGAGCCATGTCTGGAGGCGAGGGGGCGGGCTTTGGGCACAAATCCTGCCCCAGACCCTCTTCTTCAACACCGGGTACGCCCCCCCAGGGAGCTCTCTGAGTGTCCGCACCCCTCAGGTGGGTACCGGTGGCTGCAGGGCAGAGGCACTGTCCGTGGGCGGGGAGCTGGGCACAAAAACAGGGGATCCCCCAGAGAGAGCCCAGCCCAGCTGGGGGCTGAAAGCGTACAAAAGGCAGCTTGTTCTCAGAATGCCTGTGCCTTCTCAAGCATACCTACCTACAGGCGCACTCGGGACAGTTACACCTACACAGCCACACAAAGTTTGCCAGGGTGGAGTGTGGGGAGCTGCCTCTAGTCTCTGAGGTCAGCTGTAGGAACAGCTCTATGCTGAGCCAACCCCTGCCTCATACACACCTTGACTTACCCATCCAATCAGTTAATAGATAGCCCACAGCCCCAGGTGCAGCCTTGGAACAGAGACCCAGCTACAGTCTCACAACTACCCTCTCTGTCTTTCTCTGGAGGCAGATTGCCATCCAGGCACTGTGTGACCCTGGCATCCAATAAGATTTATTACTACCACCTCCCTTTTTGGGATAATGCTAGGAAATTGAACCCAGGGCTTCAAGCATGCTGAACAAGTGCTCTACTAATGAGTGTATTATACCCAGCCAGCTCACATTACTTTCTAGTGAATACTTGTTCTGTCCTATTCTGCAGATGGATAAATATGTTTAGGTTAAAACCTAGCCTAAGTGTTTGTGGGCCCTGATCTCAACACTAAGAGAGCAAGGATCTGAGCCCAGGTCAAGCAGGGCTTAGGTGTTCAAGTTCTTGAATGTGTTATCTCTGCCTCCCATCACATCTTACCACCCCCCCAAGCACCCTACCACACACGACCAGACAACAAAGCCATGTCTGAGTGGATGTGTAATTCATCCCACACACATGTCAATGTGAGTCTAGTACCAGGCCAGCAATTCTAACTTAGTGTGTGTGTGTTGTGGGGAGCATCTCCTACTTCTGTGCTACCAACCCCATCCTACCTGGCCTCCAAGAATCATTATAAAAATGGGGTCCAGAGTGAGGGTGGAGCCGAAACATGCTACCTCTAACTTTCCTAGCAGGGTCACCTCCAATTCGCCCTGACCCTAGGATGACAAAACACTGCTGGGATGCCTAGCCTGCAACTACCCATTCCTGTGTGCCTAGACCTCTCCCCTAGTCCACAACCCCTGCTGAGAGTAAGTCCAAACAAACTCCTTCCAGGGGATGTCAAAGCACCTTTCCTGGGGGAGGCCATGCTGTGATTCCAGAGCCTGGCTAGGGAGGAGGATCTGGTTACTCTTTCCCCAGCTGTGCACTGGACTCCTTGGGGCTGACCTTTCACCTCATCCAGGCCTAGACGCAAAGGGGGCCCAGAGTCCAGCTCTAACCTGTTAACCCTCCCCGTTCCTTATCATTTCATTCCTGGGCTCCTGCCAAGGTCTGGTGGGTCTGAAGGCTAAGTAGGTATGCCCACCTTTCTCTAGCCTTCCATTCTAGCGTCCCATTTCCCAGAGAACTTTACAGAATGCTCTTCCCTGCCCCCTGCCCATGCTGCCCTGCTGGGATCAGGGATCAGATACCTCGCCCAAGCAGCTGAAAATGACCTGGGCTATTTTCGCTGCGGGATCATGTTGCAACTCCCCCTTGAGCTGGCAGCTTCCCACACCTCTCCAGACCATCGCTAACCACCTTCACCTCTCACCCATAACCAATGACTAACAGGACAAGAAGGTTCTCTAGAGACCACTGGCCTAAGCCATTCAGATGGAGAAGATTGAGCTCATGAGGAGCCCATCAGGGCTGGGCAGAGAACCAGGCTCCTTAGGTCCTCGCCCAAGTCCCTGTCTAGCATAGACTGCTCTGTACCCTAGATGCCAGAGCCTCTGACCCAGCCAACCTCCTTTAAACACCAGAAAGTCACATTGGAAGGCTACCCACAAGTCCTTGAGTCAGTCTACTTGTCAGAAACTGCCTCTGTCACGCTCATCCCTTTGTTTAGAGTTGGAATCAGGTCTGTACCCATGCCACAGACATGTGAACCTCCCTGGAAGGGTTGAGGGAGTGCAAACTGGGAGGAAAGACAGGGAAGCTGAAGCCTAGAGAATGGGAAGTGGATTCAGATATCATTTCCAGCTACCCCTTGCCCCAGCTTCTCCCCTTGCCCCAGCTTCTCGGTGGGGTCTACCCCCAGGCCTTCCATTCCTATGAACTCAAGCCCCTCCAGGTCCCTGCCCCTGCCCCTTGCCTCAAGCGACAGCCCTCCTGGGTAGGAATGTGACTGGTCAGGTCTGAGCTGACCACAAGAGTGGCTATAAGGTGACAGACCCCTATATTCCCATCCCCCCAGCGCAGGAGAGCTCACATACCAAGGTGGGGGGCTGTTTAACTCCTTGCAGTTGGTTTTCAGGAAGGGGTGCTGTTCTTCCTAAAGCCAGTCCTATGAATGCTGCATGGGAGGGGGGTCAGGGTATGTGCAGGCACAGCCTACTTCACCAAGAGGATGGGGGCATCCGCCTGCCTCATTAGTCCTGATTAAGAAGCTGTCCTCTGCCACCCTAAATGTTTCATCCCTACTCTCATGATGTAGGAAAACTGCCAAGAACTGGTGCTGAGGGCAGAGAAGAGACTTCATGAACTCCAACCTCAGGAGCCCCTAGTCTGATGGGAGAAATACAACCCTGCCCTGGGGAGTCTGAAGGGGGAGACCAGGCACAGAGGCTGGGACAAAAGAGCTGAGAGCAGGAGAGCACTGAGCTGCTATGCAAGTGGGAAGAAGCCAGGGCAGGAGAACAAGCCAGGTGGGGTCAGACCAGGCAGGCTTCCCAGAGGCCCCTGGGGCCCATACCCCTCCCCCCAGGCTCTGGAATCTCGGGGGTCAGGGCTGAGGGACAGCTCCACCCCCTGCTCCCCTCAGGCTCAGGAATTCCACCAGCAAGGGGGGGGTGCCTTCGGACTCGGTCCAAGTTGGCTCCCACTGGACTGGGAACCGCAGCTCCTCCTCGCCCCCCATCCCCACCCAAGCCCCTAGGCTGGCCTCCAGCCCTCTTCTCTCCCCCTGCCTGGCTGGCATGGTGTGTGCCAGGCGCTGGCAGAAAACAAACCCGCTGGGGTGGGTTTGCAGGGAGCGGGGTAACCTTGACACAGTTGCAGCAGTCGCTAATGGCAGACACACACTCCGCCTGTTCTGGGGGGACTGTTGCCGTTGCTAGGAAACCAGCAGCCGCGTGAATGGAAATGGGTCAGTAAACCTGGGGAGAGATAGTGTGACACTCGAACCACTGCAGCTGCTCCAGCCCACACCGAAATCCCTCCTCTTCAATATTTATCACTCCCGCCTGGGCCCTCAGCTCCTGCCAGACCCTGTACCAGCCTGGCCCTCAGGCCCCCCCAAGGCCCGATAAGAGTGGAGGGAGAAAAGCGTGGAGGGGGTTGCTTATCCACTCCACTGTTTGGGGGGGGTGGTGAGGTGGGATGGAACTGGTTCTGGAGGAGATTGAACAGGAAACAGAGTCTAATCCCGCGGTGGGGAAGGGGTTAAAAGGTCAATTCACGCCTGTTCCTGATTTAGGCACCGTGGTAAAATTACTGTGAATGAGAGGCTAGCAGCAGCCTGCCTACCTGCAAATGACTGGGGAAGGCAGGCTGCCTTCCCAGTCTCTGCTTTCACCCAGTCTTCAGGCCTCCCTATCGGTAGGGGATAGAGGTAAGAAGAACCCAAAACATAGCCAGGACTGATTGGAAGCCTGAAAATACCAATAGATAGCCAAGAACAATCTGATAGCTTTCCAAACGGTCAGGGGCTACCTACTATCTTACACACACCTCCCAGACATTCAGGAAACCCTGACAACACCCCTACACAGATAACCCCCACAACAGAACATGACAGCTGCAATTCTGAACAGTGTGATTCAGCTCAACTCCCATAACCAAGGGGACAAACCTAAGGCACACGCCAAACTCCTCTACTACTTGGGAGGCTGTAGCCTGCCCCGCAGCTTGCCCTGTCAGTTCTCTGGCTTAGATGTTTTCCTCTTGCCTACCACCAGCCTCCTTGTCTAGAGCACACTCATAAACAGCCCCTACGACGGCTATTCTGGACATGCATTCAACAAGCTAGTCGCCCCATGCCCAGTACTTCATCTCTGAAGGCCTGACTGGTCCCTGACACACACATTCCTTTCCCTTAGAAGCATGCAGTCTCTCAGCCCCGCCTGACACAAGCTCTTATTCTTGAGCACAGGCATCTCTCCAGATAGCAGGGACCCAGGGAATCAGCAGTGCCACTCACTTCGGTGATATGCCCCCT